CTTCTCCTGGAGTGGCTGACAGGCGGCCGCCACCGTTTGCCAGGACTAGTCCACTCGAATTTCCTACAATTCCCGCCTCCTGCCAGTGGCCACTCCCACTTCTGGGCCTGGTTTCCCTGCAATGCTGCTGCCTCTCCCTCTCCCGCTCCCGTCGTCTCCTCCAGTTGCCCAGTCGAGCCTTGTCTCTGTATGAGGTTGTCTCCAAGTATTTCAGGCCAGATTTCTTTCTTTCTTTGCTGGAGAAATTTGCAGCCTGACTGGGGACTCAGTTTTGGATGGGATGTGATTAGATCACTCCCTGGTTCACACAACGTCACCTCGTCCCAGTCTAGTTCGGAACACCCCCAGGGAGCCAGAGCTCAGGGCTGTGAGCCAGGTGAGCAGCCCCCAGCCCCAGCCCCCCAGCACAGACTGGCAGCCCCACAGGTGCTGATCCGAGGAACGAGGAACTGGAGCCTTTCTCCAGGAAGTGGGATGGGCCGAGGGGAGGAGGTCGAGTGGCAGCAGCCTTCCGCTTTCTTCCTGCAGAGACCAAGGTGGCGTCCCCCAAACTTCCTTATCTGGTCCATTCAGCCCCTCCTGTGCCCACTGTCCCCGTCTCAACTGGACGGTGAGCTCTGCCTGGCGGGCCAGGTCTTCCCACAGAGCCGGGCGCACTGCAGGGCGAGTGAGAAGTTCCTGCCCAGCGGCTGCCATTGGGGTCTCCTGCTGCGGAACGCCAGTGCCTGTGGACCACAGGGCGGCGAGCCGAGGGCATACTCACAGAGGCCTCGCAGAGCCGATGGAAGTCCACGCTCAGGTACGCCCTGATGCCGTCCATGGCCCCAGGAAGAGTGATTCCTCGCAGGAGCAGAGCAAAGAGGACCACGTACGGCATGGTGGCCGTGATCCACACGACCTGGTGAGAGGAGGCATCCCTGGGGTGCCCCGGCCACCCGTGGGCAGGAACAGGCACAGGGTCACCCTGATGGTTTGAGGGGGGGCCTCAAACTGGGAAGCCCGACACCCCAAACATCCACAGGACGCCAGCTCAGCAAATGCTGGCTGGAGCCAGACTGCTAAATGCCCTCTGCCCCGCACGTCCTTCCCAGGGCTTAAAGCAGGACAAACAGCTTGGCAAGGAAGGAACATTCCTAGTCTGCCTTCGCCCTGCTGCTGTAGGAGTGGCTGCATTTCTGGTGAGTGAGGTGGGGGTGAATTTGCACTGACTGTGAATGTGCGCCTGGATTACATGTGAAACATGGCCTCTGGGCTGGGGGTGGTGAGGAGGAGGGCGCCTGTCGTTGGAAGGCTCGTGTGCTGAAATTGCTCTGTGAGTATTGTCCCAAGTGATGGGCACGGCTTGGTCAGCGTTGCTTTGGGTGCCCACATATTTTCATGGGCAAAAACCAATTCATATTGTGCTGATCTTCATGCTGAAAACACTCTGCTGTGGGTGCATTTCCCCTTGACACTGTTTCTCAGCCAGAGCTACCTGCCCGCGCCCCCCCGACCACGCCCACCCGTCCACTCCCCTGCCACGCCCACCTGCCCGCTCCCCGACCGCACCCACCTGTCCACTCCCCAGGGGGCAGCCCTGAGCCTCACCTTCCCGGAGGTCTTCACTCCCTTCCACAAACTGAAATAGAGCAGGACGATGACCAGCACCAGGCAGGATGCGAGCTGCCAGCGGGGCGGGCCCAGGTCGTCGATGCCGTGGCTCTCGTGCAGATGCAGCACACCGCGCCTGGACAGGAGGGAGGAGGTGGGGTCCTGCAGGGGTGCTGCCTCCTGCCCAGAGCCAGAACTGGACGGCTGAGCCTGCCCCAAGACCCACCTTCCCCAACTCGGCTTGGCAGGAAGGGCCTGGCCTGATGGGCCCGGAGACCCCCTACCCACCCCAGAAGGGCCAGGTGCCCCCAGCCTAGAGGAGATGCAAGCTCCATCTTCAAGGCCCCTGGAGGAGACAGGCCAGAGCTCACCAGGAGCTCACAGAAGCCCAGCCTTGGCCTCTGGCCCTCAGCACCCCTGCTTTTTGGAACTGGAAGAGGGAAGGGCACCGGGGTATTTGAAGGAAAGGAGCTGCAGAACCAGGGGACGCTGCTCAGTGGGGCAGAGCCGCTGCTGCCTGCCGGATGGCCCAGAGCCACTTCTGGCAGGGAGGAGGCCGAGTGGACTCAGAGCAATAAAGCAGGACGCACAGCGCCTGGCTGTTCTCTAAGGGTGGCAGCGGATGACACCTGCTCCCACAGCTCCAGCTGCGTCAGGGAGGATCCCACAGACTCAGGATGGCCCCACTTAGGGACCCGTCTTGTGGGGGCTCCGTCACAGGGGCAGAACAGAAGGCTGTGCAGAGGGGATGGAACTCATGGCCAGAGGTGCATGCCCTGTGCCAGGCAGGGATCCGGGCACTTGTCTACACAGGATCCTGTTAAGTCCTGGTGACCATCTGCGGGGAAGGAGGCAGCACCGTCACGTCCCCAGCACACCTGCTGCCTCTCCTTCACAGGCAGGAATTTTGAATCAATCGAAGGCGACTCCATGGCTGTCCTGCTGCCCTAGGGAGTGGAGGAGCCAGGCTGTGAAAGGAGTCACTGGCAGCAACCGAGTTTGCCTGGATCCCTAGGAAGTAATTCTGGCTCCAGGGCAGGATGCTGCAGACCCAGCTTTCCAGAGCTTTCCGCCAGCTTCAGGCATCACGGTGGCATGTAGAAGGAACTTGGGTCTTCAGAGCATCACAGTCTCGCAGCAGGGGAGGCAAGGGAGGCCTTGACAGGCATGGAGAGAGGTCTGGGAGGCACACCTGCACACTCCGGGGTGGGCGGGCGGGAGGAGGCCACTGTGGGACACCGCTCAGCCTGCCGTGCCAGCCTGTCCTCCCCGGGGCCGCCCTCCCTGGCGTCTCCTCCGGATTTCTGGGGCGGTAGAACTCCTAGCGTCTTCCTCTCCTCCCCCTAGCTCAGCGTTGGCGCTGCGCCTGCTGCCCAGCGTCCCTTCTTGTCCCACCCACCCCAGCCAGGTCTTATCACCCCGAACTCTCTCCAGCAACAGGCTGGCACTGCCAGGTGAAGCCACAGTGTCAAAAGGCGGCTGTGTGAGAGACGGACCCTCTCCATGCAATCCAGCTGCACCTCAGCCTCCTCGCACACGCACCTGCCAGGTTATGCACCCACACCTGGGGGCGGACAGCCCTTTACCATCGGCCTGCGAAAGGAGCACTGTGGCCCACAGGCATCCGTAGCCTCCCAGGCTGACAGGGCGGGGCTCCACAGAAAGTGCACAGCTCTCCTGGTGAGGGTGGGGCGGGGTGGGGGCCAGGCACTGGTTCCACGTTCAGACATTTCAAATCCAACTGGTTCGACGCTCTTCTCCAAGACTAAAAATCCATCTTGCTTTGAAGTTGTGTGACGTCCCACAGACAGAGGCCAGGCCTCTCCAGGTCGCTGTCAGCCCGGGAAGGGGCCACTGTGCCCCTTCACCATGCGGGGCAGCCCCCCCAGCCAGCAAGGACAGCCGCGGGGCAGGGACTACACTGCCCAAGAGCAGGAGCATGGCCTGGAGGGACGGCGGGGGACAACGGGGCAGCTGGTCTGGGGCTGAAACACAGGCATTTCTGCAGCTGTAAGTGGTCTGGGGCATCCGACGGAGCGGCCCGGGCCACGGCCAGCCTCGGGAAAGGCACAGACTCCCACTGTCGGCTGGGCTCCTTTCCCAGGTGAGTTTGTGGTTGTGCCATCCTGCATCTGGATGACATGAGAGCACCTGAGGCACAGCCTCGCTGAACCCGCATGGCAGCCCCCCACCCATGCACAGATGAGGGCCCCGGCACCAAGGGGTGAGGCCCCAGCCTCACCCAGAGGCAGAGAACAGCAAAGCGGACTTTGGCGCGGGGAGCGCCAGATGCCGTGCTCTGCCGGGAGGGAGATGGCTGCTGTGGGGAGGGGGCGGGGGCCCTCTGCCCCGGCCACGAGAGAGCGACATCACCGAAGACCAGAAAACTGGACAAAGCGATGAAGCGAGACTAACCAGACGAGGGTTTTCAGACCCAGGCCTGGAGGTGACGCATGGCTGAGCCCTCCTGCCCAGCTCCCTGCCTGGGGGCCCCTCCCGATGGCCGGGCAGGGGTGCTGAGCGCGGCGC